GTTGCTGGAAAAGCCCAGCAGGTCTGGCAGCATCTGTGAAGGAAAAAACAGAGTTAACGTTTTGGGTCCGATGACCCTTCCTCAGAACTGGACCCAAAACGTTAACTCTGTTTTTTCCTTCACAGATGCTGCCAGACATGCTGAGCTTTTCCAGCAACTTTATTTTTGTTCCTGATTTACAGCATCTGCAGTTCCTTCGGTTTTTATCCAATTCTATGAGATCCATCTGGCTGACATTGTTCCAATCACTCCAGCACATACATCGCACAAGTCTTTCTAACTGTTGAGTTCTTGTTTTGAGTTCATTCCAGTTTAATCGGAAAGCACTCCCACTCTATTCTGGCTCTCAGGATTCCAAGGAGAGTGAGACTGGGCAAACTGAACTCAGTTCCCACGAAATCTGCAGAGCCAATCCTGAACTGCAAGCTGCTACTTCACTGCTTTTGCAGTGAATGGGGCTGGGGTGGGAGCACTGGTGGCTAATGACTTGGAAACAGCAGCACAGACTCATCCAGAAAATCCCTCTGGGATTGATTAGCTCTTGACAACTGAGATTCTCAGTGATTACCTGGTTTGCAGGGGATACACAGCCCATTGGGACCCCGGATAAGCTCGAGCGTGTCTTCATTAACCTTCAACAGACGGATAGGGTAGACTTGGGGCAAAATACGGCTGTTAAAGCCACAGGCGCCTACCTGCAGAGAAAAATAGAAGGAGGATTTTGATTCAGTATTGAATAACTGACACAGTAAGAGAGCTAAATATGCAAGTTAGAAGCATCTATGGTGAAATTGGTAGCTTTATTGTGATGGCATGTGTTCCAATCCCTATCCCAAAACTCTCAATGGAACCCTTCTTCTCAAGTCATTCCTAACCTCCATTCTACCTTGCACTGCCCACCACCAAATAAACATCCCATTGGTCAGGGTGGGTTGGTTGTTGGGACATCATTTTCTACATAGTGCCAGAGTGAGGTAGTGCCAAGGTGCTGAGTACCCACCTTGCCGTCGAGGTTGGCGATGGCACAGTTGCACTCAGTTGCCCCGTAGAACTCTGCCATCTGCTTGATGCGGAAGCGGCTGGTGAAGGACTCCCAGACAGAGGGTCTCAAGCCATTACCAATCGCCATACGGACGTTGTGCTGGGTTTCAGCCTGGTGGACCGGTTGGTTAAGGAGATACCGGCAGATCTCGCCAATGTACTGGACAATCTAAAGAGCAATTGTCAGAGAGGTTAACAGCTTGATGTCCTCCATCGCAAGGTGCCTATAATATGAAGGAGTTGAAGTCATGTTACAGTTATTTAAGCTCTACGCGCACTCCTGTTTACAACAATGCAGCCTGGCACAGAGACTGCACTGAAAATGGAAATACTGTTTAAGAGGAAGCACAGTGCAGATGGTTCAGAATGTTGGCTGGTCAAAAAGGGTTAAATTTGTGTGGGTTGCCAAGACTAGATCTGTATTCCCTTGTGTAAAGGTAACTGAAGACTGATGTAATTGAGGTGTTTAAGATTAGTTAACTGTTCCTCACCAGTAGTGCCTCTGGTCAGGTGCAGGGGAGGCTTGCGACAAAGGGGGCAGAACCTTAGAGAGAGAGCCAGGCCATTCAGAGGTGGGGCCAGGGCTGGAAATCCGGAGCTCTCTCCCCACAAAAAAGACCAGATAGAGAGATCAACTGAGAAAGTCAAAACTGAAATGATTCCGATCTTTGAGGGTAAGGGGGTTAATTGTTGAACCTAGTCGGGTGGATGGAGTTAATATGCAGACCAACCATGATCTAACTGAATGGTGGAACAGGCTGAATGGGCTGAATGGCCTCCTCCTGCTGTCCATAAACAAGGCAACATCTGGTCTACTTCACCTCTCCTTTGTGATTCACATAGCACCACAGCGAGTCCTGTGACTGCAGGGAGATAAACTGACCCAGCATCGCTGCAGCATCGCTGCTGCTGGCTTTGCCATCTCAGTATCCATCACGGAGAAACATTCTTGCTGTAGGCAATGGTCTGCTGTGAATCTAGCTTTGCACAGGAATCAAACAAGGCAATGAACGCTCAAAGTCTCAGCTCAGGGAGGGGGGCCATGATCAACAAAGTAGGGGTATTGCAGGAGGAACTGCATCTCAGAATAAGTGACAGCAACAAAGACGGTGATAGCAACATGAAATGCTGAGGCTAGGGAATTGTACAGTGCAGTCAAGCTCAGTTTCCACAATCCTATTTGCTTTTCCTTAAGATGGGGAACTGGGGAGCATAATCTCAGAATGAAGGATCAGCCACTTAGGACTGAGATGAAAAGGATGAATCTTTGAAATTCTGCACCAAAAGACTGTGGACACTCATTCAATGGCTACAAATTGGTCCTTGTCAAGCTCTGCGAGTGTTGTTGGAGCTGCACTCATCCAGCGAAGTGGGGAATATTCTACCTACAATCCTGACTTGTAGATGCAGGACAGACTTTGGGGGCAGTAGCAAATTTGGCAGAATTTTTATAAAGGGAGACAATGACCTTTATATACAAACATAGAAAATAGATGCTAGAATAGGCCATTCAGCCTATCTTGGCTGCTTTGTCATTAAATATGAACCTAACTGATTCTGATTCTCAATGGCATACTTCTGCTCTCTTCCCAGACCCCTGACATCTTCAGTGCCTTCTTAAACATATTCAGTGACTTGGCCTCCCTATATTGAACAAAGCAATGGATAGACTGGGATAGTAGCAGTTTGAAAGGAAGGGAGGGCAAAGTTCCTAGAATGTGTTCAAAAGAATTATCTATAGCAATAGGTTTCCAGTCTAATGAGGCTGGATTACTGCTAGACCTGGTTCATGGGAATGTATAGCAAGTGACAGTGGGAGAACTTTTGGGAGCTAGTGATCATTACATCATTAAGTTTAAGGTAACTCTGGAAAAGGGTAATTAACAATTTACACTAAGAACATTTACTTGAGGGAAAGCCAGATTTAATGCTGAACAATGGGCCACCAATAAAGAAGAGATGGTTTTTCCACTCAATGTATATTCCTTTGAAAGAGAAGAGTGGAGCAAACATATCCAGAGCCCTCCTTGACAAAAGATTTATAATTATGATAAAGAAAAACAACAGTGTTTATGACAGATGTCAGTCAGAAAATACAACTGAGAGACAGGTTGAACACTGAAGGTTCAGAAAGGTAGGGAAGAAATAAATGAGAGAAGTAAAGCATGATAGGAGACAGGCAGCCAACATAAAAAGAAATCCCAAAATCTTCTATAGATAATAAGCCTCACAGCGCCAGGGACCCGGGTTCAATTTCAGCCTTGGGCAACTGTCTGTGTGGAGTTTGCACATTCTCCCCGTGTCTGTGTGGGTTTCCTCCAGGTGCTCCGGTTTCCTCCCACAGTCCAAAGATGTGCAGATTAGGTGATTGGCCATGGGAAATTGGCCATAGTGTTCAGGGAAGTACAGGCTAGGTGGATTAGCCATGGAACATGCAGGGTTAGAGGGATAAGGTAGGGCCGGTGGGTTTGGGCAGGATGCTCTTCAGAAGATTTATGTATACCCGACGGGCCAAATGGCCTGCTTCCACACTGTGGGGATTCTATACCAATAGATAAATAGTTAAATAGTAAATGGTAGTGGGGCCAATTTAGGACCGAAAAAGGGACTTCCACATGGAAGCAGAGGGCATGACTGAGGTATTAAACAAATACGGTGCATTAATTTTTCCTAAGGATGATGACAATACCTGGCATTAGGGAGGAGAAATGGAAATTCAATTGCTGAAAGGAGTTAACATTGATAAGGTGATAGCATTGAATAGGATGTTCCACAAAAAGCTGACAAAGCATAGGACTAAATGAGCTGCAATAAGGGTACTGAGAGAAGTGAAAATGAATATTGCAAAGACATTCGCAATAATCTTTCAGTCTTCCTTAGACTCAGGGGTGGTCCCCGAGGACTGGAGAATTGCAAACGTTTCCTCCTTGTTCAATAAAAGATACAAGAGTAAACCAATGAACTACAGATCAGTTCAGCGTAACTTCAGTGGTTGGGAAACTTCTAACCTCAATAAAACAGTCACATGGACAATCGTGGGTTAATTGAATAGATATCTTAAGGGAAAATCATATTTAGCCAATTTACTAGAATTTGTTGATGAGGCAGAGATTCGATCAGGATAATGCTGTTGACGTAATATATATGGACTCCGAAAGCATCTGATAGCATGCTTCATAACAGATCAGCGAGCTAAATCTGAGCTTGTGGATATAAAATGGACTGACAGCAATCAGAATTATGGTTACTGAATATTTTTCAGGCTGGGAGAAGGTTTGTAGCTGAGTTTTCTATGTTTTAATGTTAGGACCCTTTCCTGATATACATTAATGACCTAGGCCTTGATGCACAGGGCACATTTAAAAGTTTGAGAATGACATGAAGCTTGCAACCTTGTGAACTGTGAGGAGGATAATGAAGAATTTTAAGAGGGTAAAGACAAGTAGTTAATAAAGCATATGCTATCTTAGGCTTTACTAACAGGTGCATTGAGAACAGTTCAAAGATGTGCAGGTTAGGTGGACTGGCCGATGCTAAATTGCCCATAGTGTCCAGGAATGTGCAGACTAGGTGGGCTAGCCATGGTAAATGTGAGGTTACAGGGGTAGGAGAGTGGGTATGGGTGGGATGCTCTTCGGAGGGTCGGTATGGACTTGATGGGCCGAACGGCCTACTTCCTCACTGCAGGGATTCTACGATTACTGTTTATACTGCAACCAGTTCTGGGTGCCACACGTTAGGAAGGATTTGGAGGCAATGGAGAAAGTGCAGAACAGTTTACAACAATTATTCCAGGGATTGAGAAGTTTTGGTTATGAAGATCAATTGGAGTAATCGGGACTGTTACCCTTGAAGGGCAGGCTGAGAGGAGATTTAATTGAATTTTTCAAAACCATGAAAAGTCTGGACAGAGTAAATTGGGTGAAAAAGTTGCCACTTATGAAAGTATTGGGGACAGATTTAAAAGAAGCAAAAGTGATGAAGAACAATTTTTTTTTCACACAGGAAGTGCTTATATTCTGGAATGAACTGCCTGCGAGTGGAGTGGAGTCAGGTACGATTGAGGTATCCGAAGGAAATTACATGGTTATTTGAAAAGGAACAATGAGGGTTCTGGGGAGAAGGTGGAAGAATAACTCTAGAAAAGATGCTTATTCAGACAGCCTGCACAGACGCAATGGGTTGAGTGGCCTCCTTCTACATTACAACACTTCTGCAAGTGTGAGATAGTCAAGGCTGACATTGGTAGTTTTGCAACCATTAAGTGAGTCAAAAAACATGGGGATAGGGTAGGGAAAGTGCAGAGGAAGTAGATCATTCTTGATCTTATTAAATGGCCACAGGCTTTAAGTATAGGAGTTGAGTACAGGAGTTTGAGTACAGGAGTTGGGACAATATGTTGAGGTTGTACAGGATGTCGGAGAGGCCTCTTCTGGAGTGCTGTATCCAGTTCTGATCGCCTTGTTATAGGTAGGATATTATTAAGCTGCAGAGGGTTCAGAAGAAATTTACCAGGATGTTGCCAGGAACGGAGAGATTGAGTTATAAGGAGAGGCTGGATAGGCTGGGGCTTTTCTCACTGGAGTGTTGAAGGTTGAGGGGAATATTTTAGAGGCTTATAAAATCATGAGGGGCATAGGTAAGTTGAACGGCAGGCGTCTTTTTCCAAGAGTGTGGGATTTCAAGACGAGGGGGCATAGTTTTAAGGTGAGAGGAGAAAGATTTAAAAAAGAGATGAGGGGCAACCTTTTTACATAGAGAGTGGTTTGTGTGTGGAGTGAACTTCCAAAGCAGGTACAGTTACAAAGTTTAAAAGACATTTGGATAAGTACATGAATAGGAAAGGTTTGGAGGGATATGGGCCAGGAGCAGGCAGGTGGGACTAGTTTAGTTTGGGATTATGGTCAGTGTGGACTGGTTGAACCGAAGGGTCTGATTCCATGCTGTGTGACCCTATGACTGAATGGCCTACTCTCGGTTGTATTTTTTTAAAACACAATCCTGTTCCTGAACACTTTTGTTGAAAACAGGCAGGGAGCTAGGCCAACATAGGCAAGGGGGAGATGTGGGTGTTATGCAGGAAGCATAGAGAAACCCGGAGTGTGCACAGCAGACAGAGGCTTGTAAACACTCACAGTGCAGTTGTACTTCACACAGTCATCCCAGAATCGACTGGCCGAGAACTTCTTTTTGATCACAACAGTCAGGCCATTCAGCAGGCACTGTCCCACACCCACTATATTGCCTGTTGACAGAACAGAGACACAACCTTAAAAACAGTCTTGCTTTACTGAAAAGTCAGTAATAGTCAGACACAGGGAAGTCTGTGGATCATGTGTGGTTGTAATCTACAAAGCACAACATGCTTGTTTGATAACAAGTCCAATGAGGAAGTTTTTTCCTTTATGTTGTCAATGTCTTGGTGATAGTTCTTATCCCTGAAACCATAACTGCTCACTTGTGTGACCTCATCCAGCCCTACAAACCCCCGAAGCACCTGCACTCCTCAGATTACGGTTTTCTTCATTGTTTCAATACTGGCGGTCACCCTTCAGCAGCTGAGCTCCCAAACGCTCTGGAATTACCCCCACAAACCTCTCCATCTCCCTCTTCCTTAAAATCCTCTTTGACCTTTCTTTTGGGCAGCTGTTGCTACAACACACATGGCTTGGTGTTTGATCATTCTCAGCGACGTGCCTGTGACATTTTAACTACATTGAAGAGACTTTGTAAATGAAAGTTGTTGTTCATTCATATAGACCCCATGATTTGCCAACTGTTCCAGTTGATAATAATTGTAAGGAAATAATTTCCACGCTGGCTCTTTAAGTAAGCCTCTGTCATAGTAATTTTAATTAAAAATAGGCATCACAAGAGGTTTGCGCAGAAACCCAAACTCTGGATGAACAGAGTTTAAGATTTCACCTAACTTCTGCTTTTATTCCAATTTGCAGAATTCAGAGATATGTGTACTCCCAAACGCAAGTGATTTCAGGCAGAATTCGAGCATGTGAGATGTACTCACACTCACTAGGCTTAAACAGGTCAACAAAGAGTTCACAGACTGAAAGAGCTTTAACAGCTGCAATATAGCACCTATCTATGTTACAACATTAAATGAATTATGAAGGATCATTCTTGTATGATAATATTCCACATTGAAAGAAGGGAGACTCCAAGGTAGATTGTCACAAAGCTGTAATTTGGGAGTTAAGCACTTCAGTGTAATGAACAATACCCAGGTATAAACTTGGTGAATGCATCTCAAAATCCTCCAGGACTGAGTGACAAAGAAGATAATGCAAAAACTAAATGCTAAGCAGGAATTCTGAAATAAAGTGAGGCAGAGTCCAGGAGATTCTTCTGGTCTGTCCTACTAGCTGAGAAATTTCGGAAGAAACATGGAACAATTTAAGGCACAGGTGCCTGCTCACCATTTCCATTCATTAGTCTCCAACATCACTCAGTAACATGAGCCACCAGGGTTGCCCCAAACCAAGAAGTGAGCAATAACTTGGACAGACACTCCAGTGCAGTGCTGAAGCAGTGATATAGTGTTGGAGGTGCCATCTCTTGGATGAGTTGGTCAACTGACAGCAGGTCCACTGCAGCCTGATACAAGCGAGAAACTATATGGGCGAGAAATGACTCCTTACCTGCTGAATGATACAGGGGCAGACAGTCATAAATAATATCATCATGCCGCATTCGGAATCCATAATAAGCAAACACAGCCATCCTGTAGTACCTACAAGCAAGCATACCTGCTGATGAGTAGGATGGAGGCAAAAAACAGGGTTTTATATATCACAGAGCAAGCACGTCAACTCATTAAGTGTGGCTAACTGAGGTGAGAAATTCAAATCTAGGTTCGGCTGCATGGGTTTACCTTTCACTCTGCTGGGTACCAAAAACCTATACAAAGATACACCCTAACATCTTCGTGATTAACAACTTTCCCATTGTTGAGACACACCAAATGATACAGCACAAAAAAGGGTCATTTTGTCACTTGTGTTAGTTCTTGTGAAAGAGCTGTCAAATTAATCTCACTTCCCCCCCACAGCCCGGTTTTCATCCAATTCGCTTGTAAAAGTTGCTGCTGATCTTGTTTCCAATGCCGTCTCAAGCATCACATTCAGATCATAATTCACCAAAAAAAAAACTTTTGCTCATCTCCCGTCTGGTTCCTCTATCAAAATTGCCAGCACAAAGCCTTTGAAATGTTAGAGCAGAAACAGCCAGTGACCTCTGCTGTGCCCCTCGGTCTTGGTACATACCTGCTGTGTACGACAATGGCAGCTTTAGGCATACCAGTGGTGCCAGATGTGTAGATGTAAAAAAGGCGATCTGTAAAGACAAAGGAATAGAGAAGAATCAGGTACAGCAAGTTTGCACAGCATTTCCTTTCGCTTCTTCCAACCGCCCTACAATTCCACTTATGTCACAATTACAGTATCTGCATTGGAATGATTAACAAAAGATTCACAATTGCCCTTTTTTTCTCATAGATCCCAGCTCTTCACCATTACACAGGCGAATGCAGACAGTTCCAGCTCACTGGCTGATCAGTCCAACATCAGCACAAGGTGGAATTGATCTTTCAAAGCTGAGGAATTAGTGAAATTGGCCAAAGCCTATAAAATTTCCACATTTATAGAGTTATATCATTAAATGCTGCATTTGATTTTCTCTTGTTTTCAGAGTTAACAGCAGAGTACAGAAGTTTAAAAAAAAGTCACAAGGATACTATACCATGAGCCAGTGATACTTGACCATATTTGGCCAGTATTATTTACAAGAAAGGAAAAGAAGAAGAAATTCCCTGCCAATCAGACACAAAGCCACTGGCAGCAATTTACACATCAAATGTACAAACCCTCACACTGCTTCCCACAATAGGAATTATTCCTCGGTCATAGCACTCCACTGGCCAGTGTTATTCACATGCTTATCTCATATACAAGGGAGGAGACGTACTGCCACAGCTCCTAGGATACATGGCTGGTCTGCAATACAGAGGGCTAAGAGACAGACAAGTCACCCTCGGGACTGGCAATTAAGGAACAATATGTGTCGCAAGAGCAGCTGTTGAAAGCTCAGGCTGTCTTGGTATACGATTTTCAGCCCACTATACCTGCTGTTGCAGACCAGCTTGTCAGGGTTTTGGGGACTGAGCAAACCAGTAAGAGAGATGCCCAGCCCTTTCTTGCTTCATTGGCTGTAAATTGTAAACAACTGGCTAGAAAGGAAAGGCTAGTTGTACATATACAAGCTATTGAAGATGGAAATCTAATCCAGTCACTACAGCACTGGAAACATTAACGGAATGGAATTGAATGAATGAACTGCAGCGGTTCAAAGCAGGTCACCACCACCTTAACGGCAATTAGGAACATACAGCCTGCCAGCAATGTCTCTAGGGATGATGTTTACAGCAGAATAAGAACTCTGATTCTAATTCTGGGCCAGTTCTTTGCTCCAATCCAAACCTAATCCCACTGCTTTGTCTACTCTCAACAGTCCTCCATTTCAAATATTTAGCTAATTTTCTCTTTTTAGATTCCAATGGTCACTGCCTCAACCTCTCCCTGCAAGTCAATTCCATATTCCCAACAGCCCTCTGTGTAATGAAACTTTAATTGCATTCATTAATCTTTTGGCTACAATTCTAAATTGTTACCTCCTGGGCACCAACTGTCGGAAAAAAGGAAACAGCTTTTCCCCATTCATCACATTAAACTTTGCATTCATTTATAAAAAAAACTTAATTAAAAGTTCCCTTACAATCCTCTGCATATATTCCCAACATCTCAATCCTTGCCCAGCAACTGAAGTTTCAATTTTTTTTATTCACTTATGGGATGAGGGCGTTGGTGACTAGGCCAGCTTTTATGGGCCATCCCTAATTGCCCAGAGGGCAGTTAAGATTCACCCACATTGCTGTGGGTCTGGAGTCATATGTAGGCCAGACCAGGTAAATAGGCCAGACCAGGTAAGGTTGACAGATTTCCTTCTCTAAAGGACATCAGTCATCTTTGACATTAGGACATCGTTGGCATTTGGAACTCTTTCCCCCACCCCTCAAAATACGTTGTTGAGACTGGGGAGACAACTGAAGATTTCCAAACTCGGATTGACCAATTTGGTACTGAGAGAATAAAGGTGGTCGATGACGTCAGGGTATAGTCTAGCCAGGATCGCATATGAGGGGCCAAATGGCTTCCTGATTAAAGGAAACCAGTGCCAGCCCTAAACTGTAGTCAGTTTCTGACCTATTAGGGAACAAATGGTTCTTGAATTTCAAAGAAATCCTGCTCACAGCTGAGGCAAAACATGCGGGCACCTAATTTTAGGGTCACTTTCATTCATTTTACTCATCACCTGCCTGGATTAGACCTGGAATGTTTTTAACAGGATGAGGGCATCACTGGCTGCATCAGTATTTATTGCTCATCCCTAATTGCCCAAAGAGCAGTTGAGAGTCAATCACATTGCTGTGGGTCTGGAGTCACATGTAGGCCAAACCAGGTAAGGATGGCAGTTTCGTTCCCTAAAGAACATTAGTGAATCAGATGAGTTGGTTGTTCCAACAATTGACAGTGGTCATCATTAAACTCTTAATTCGAGATTTTTATTGGATTCAAATTCCCCCACCTGCGGAATTCGAACCCGTGTCCCCAGACCATTACCTGGAATAACAGTTCAGCGATAATACCACTAGGCCATTGCCTCCCCTGTACTGTATTTCTGTCTGAGTTTTGTCTTGTTGCTTTCTTCATGTGACAACATGACATTTGGTAATCAGAATGATGCAAAAGGTCAGTAAGAAAAGAACACATTTGAAAGAAAACAACCTGCCAGCAAAAATCCAGTTGTAAGCATTGAAGCTGCAATGTTCAAGAAATGCAGTTTTACTTTAAGAAACATTTATTTTTAAAAAGACTAAAAGACTTCACTATCAGAATAAAATCCAGAGCAGCAGGGATGAAATGTCTCAAGTACCAGAGGCTGGGAGGAGGAAAAGGAGAGAGTGGGACAACATTAATTCCTGTTCAGTTCTCCTTTCTGTGGTACAGAGAGGGGAAATGACAGGGACCTCATGTAAGTAGCAAGATTTGCAGTATTTACAACTAGAGAAACACCCTTCAGTGCTGCAAATACTTTTATTATGAAGCATATTTAGTGTGTGCGCACAAACACAGCAGCTAGATCCAAAAAGCATTAGGAAACTGAGATGATCATTAATCTCATTTTTGATGGATTTGGTCGGCCAGGCACTGAAAGAACATCTTGAGAGACTTGGAATTGTGCCATAAACTATGGGGGAAAGCTTACTAATAAAAATTCTCCTTCACCTGGTAAAAGTGCTACGCGACAGGAGATAAAGGTCTAATTTTCACATGTTTTGCTTTCTGCCTTCGAAGCAGTTAACTGTAGCTGGGAAATATAAGAACTAGGAGCAAGAGTAAGCAATTCAGCCCTTCAAGCCTGTTCCGCCATTTGAAATTATCATGGCTGTTCACGTCTCAGCCTCAACTCCACTTTGCTGTCCGCACCCCATAATCCTCAAACTGTCATGAATCAAAATACTTTCTGCCACCTTCTCAAATTTATTCAATGTCCCAGCATCCATCATGCTCTGGGGGAGTAAATTCAACAGATTCATGACCCTTTGAGAGAAGTAACTTCTCATCTGCTTTAAATCTGCTACTCCTTATCCTAGAACTATGGCCACTCATGCTAGAATTGTGTACATTATGCATGTTTTTACAGTGTAAATGTCAATCGAAGTAGAGGAATGTGCTACCCTGCCACTGCAACCTGCTCTGATGTGGAGGTGAAAGCATGATCCACCTTTTGTATGCTGAGTCAGAAACATTGCATCATTAGGGCCTTGGGGGTGGCTACTGGAGTAGAAGGCTACTGCTGGAATGCACTGCCTTCAATGAGAGTGGAAGCATGTGTGCTTGCAAACTTCACAAAGGCAAGTGGATATATATTTGAAAGACACAAATATTCCTGGCTATGAATGGAGGAGTCATAGAGATGTATGGCACAGAAACAGATCCTTCGGTCCAACTTGTCCATGCTACCACATATCCTAAATTAATCTAATCCCATTTGCCAGCATTTGGCCCATATCCCTCTTAAACCCTTCCTATTCATGTATCCATCCAGATACCTTTTAAATGTACCAATCTCCACCACTTCCTCTGGCAGCTCATTTCATACATGCACCACCGTCTGTGTGAAAAAGTTGTCCCTTAGGTCCCTTTCCCATCTCACCCTAAACCTACGCCCTCTAGTTCTGGATTCCCCCGTCCCAGGGAAAAGACCTTGGCTATTTACCCTATCCATGCCCCTCATGATTTTATAAACCTATTAAGGTCACCCTTCAGCCTCTGGCGCTCCAGGGAAAATAGCCCCAATCTATTCAGTCTCTCCATATAGTTCAAACCCTCCAACCCTGGCAACATCCTTGTATATCTTTTCTGAACCCTTTCACAAGTTTTGCAACATCCTTCCCATAGCAGCGATGAATTGTAAAGCTTTTTCAAAGTACACCTCCAATAGGTTGAATGTCCTGCACTCCATGATTCTACAATTACTAACACAGAAAAACTGAATGTGATTATCCTTCCAATATCACAGACGTCCCATTAACTAAGGACCATCTCGATAAAGCTGCCGATTCTTAAAAACAAAACCAGGAATTGCTCACTGAATTTCTGTGGAAATAAATTCTCATGATGCTTTTCAGAAGTTCAGGTTAGGGTGGGTGGAGGGAGTGGAAGGGAGGGTGAGACTTAGTCCAAGAATTTTGTGTTGCAGTGACAATGTTATGACTCAGCTTTAAATTTTTCCTCAAGTCGGGCAAGGGTTACAAATTGCCCAGCAATACAAAGTAGGTGAAAGGTTGAACTCATTGCTGGTGCCTGTCATTTTTGCTTGTTTGAGTTGGGTGCTTGTGAATGTGATGCATGCACAGAAAATACATTCAGAGAGTGAGAAGGCTTGAACAGTACACATTCTGCTGAACAACTAGCTCAAGTGAAAAAAAAATTGCACAGGGCAATTTCTTGACATCTCCAAGAAAGATTGCATATTTTGGATCAATTCAAAAGCTCAATTAAAAGGGACACCCATTTCACACTCTTCTTTGTAAGTAGTCTGCAGTTCTGCTGAGGCATTTAGCTTTTAACCTGGCACACTACTTCAAGATCATTGTTCAAATGTTGGGAATCTAAGTTAGCCGCTTAAAAATTAACAGTGAAGGAGAAGTCATTTAACTTGTTTAGGCATTTTGGACCTGCAGGCTTCAATCACACAATCATATGTCTGGCTTAGTCTAGTTTTAAAATTTTGATTTGTGTCCATAACTAATCCACATTGAATGCAGCATGACAGACTCAACTTGAGACTTAAATTCTGCCACATCAACTTTTCCATCATTGTTCATGATAAATTGAACATGTCATTTTACATAAATGAGGATGTTATTGGCCAGTTTTTATGGGGAAAGCATTCAGGAAGTAATGCAATACATTAATGCAATTCTTTAAATATTGTATTATCCCTGCTCTGCTATGGGTAGCTCTTGATTGCAGGCTGTTGCAAAATTGTGTGGAGAATGCACTGCTGAGATCATACTATCCATCAGAGAGTGCGAAAAAACAGTGATTCCAGACCCACAAATGACCCTTCTCAGGAAGTGTCATGAGACCCGAAACATTAACTCTGATTTCTCTTCACACATATTGCCAGACCTGCTGAGCTTTTCGAGAAACTTCTGTTTTTGTTTCCCACAAATGACACGGTTTGCAAAATCACTATTGCAACCAACCAGGGAGGTCAAAAAGAAGGAGCTCATTCACCTCTCACCCAATTGCAACATACATAGCTGTTAGTCCAGCCCATAATCACCTGGCTACTAAAACTTGCATACCTTTTACGTCCCCTCTAATACTAGGTGTACTTTTACGGTAAGAGAATACGCGATGAATGGCAGGACCGTTGGAAGCAAAGGGACTTTGATATGCATGTCCATTAGTCCCTTAAGGTATCAGAACTAGATGGATAAAGTGGTTAAGAAAGCAGATGGTATACTTGCCTTTACAGTTGGGTCATAGAGTTTAAGAGAGGGAGGTGATACTGGAACTGTATAAAACGCTGGTTAGGCCACAACTAGAGGATTATAGGAAGGATGTGGTAGCACTAGAGAGGGTGCACAGAATATTTGCAAGGATGTTGCCTGGGTTGGAGAGTTTCTGTTATGAAGAGAGATTCGACAAACTGGGGTTGTTTTCCTCAGAGCAGAGGAGACTGATGGGGGACATGATTGAGATGTATAAAATCATGAGGGGCATAGACAGGAAGAAATTTTTGCCCTTTGTGGAGGGATCAATGACCAGGGAGCATAGATTTAAGGTAAGGGACAGAATGTTTGAAGGAGATGTGAGTAAAAATGTTTCATCTAGAGGGTGGTGGGAATCTGGAACTCACTGCCTGTGAGGGTGGGAGAGGCAGAAACACTCATCACATTGAAGAAGTATTTAGATGTGCACTTGCAATGCCAAGGCATAGAAGGCTATGGGCCAAATGCTGGGAAACGGCATTAGAATAGTTAGGTGGCTGTTTTTGACCGGTGCAAATGTGATGGGCTGAAGGGCCTTTTACTGTAGCCCTCTGTGACTCTAAAAGATAAAGTGCCATAAAGGGTTCAGAGTTGATTGTGGCTTGTGATGTGCTTATGGCACTGGAGTGTAAACAACAGAAGGATTCTGCGATGAGTATAAATCACCAATACGAAAAGAACATCAAGGGACCCTAGACAGAGGGTTGGGCAAAATGGCAGAAAGGAAAGTAGACAACCTCAAAAATCCTTGGCTGTATGGGTTTGGAAGGCAGAGAATCCCTTGGTGTAATAGAGAAGCTCTACAAATAAAACCAGAGGCAAGGCTAATGCATGTCATTTAAATGTCACAAAATCTTATTCGTGATAAATAAAACTGGATGGGGTCATCCAGAGCTTCACTATTTAGAATGATAATGAAACACTCATGTGGGAAAGTCACTTAAGAGCCTGCAGACAGTGGGCTCCTCTAATGTGTGCTCCTGTAAAGTTTCTGGCATTTTTTAACAGTATTCCTCATTTATACATTTTTGAAAAAAGAGAAGATTGCATTAGAGTGTGTGCAATTTCTAAAACAAGAGTGTCAGTGAGCACATACAAATGCAGAGATTTCTTGGTGGAAGTAAAATCTCATCTCCTCCAAATCTGACTTCTTGCACATCTTAGATTTTCACAGTTTCACCACTGTAGTCACACTTCAACCGCCTCAGCCTCTAGTCTAGAGTTCTGCGCTTAACCTTTCTATCTCCCGTAGGGCATTAAAAAAGAACCTACTGTGGAATAAATGCTCAGTCACCGACCCTTATATCTTCCTTTGTGCTTCAGTGTCAAATTTTGTTTCAGAATGCACTCCTGCAAAGATTTATGCTGCTGAGGGTACCCTATAAATACAGGCCACTGTTGGTGCTGTTAGGCAGATCCCTGCATGAAAACACACACGCTGTTGCAAAATGTACTGTCATTGAAAACCTCATTTCTGCACAAGTTATTATTGGTGTACAGTGCCAGCCAGAAACACAACAACACTGGTACATTAGCCTCTCTCACATACAAACAGTCGAACATTCAGAAGAAGCACAGTTACTGGTATACATACACACATGTAAATGCTATTCAGCTCTGTGATCAGTGCTGCAGCTTTGTAAGAATTGAAACATTGTCTTCTTAGCTGGCCAATTACCATATGAATCTGCTGAATGGCAAACGGATGCCATTAATACACTGACCACTGGTACTGAACCTCAAAGGACAAGCTTTCACACTTGTCAGTTTAATATGGCCTGAAATTTTATTGGCCAGTTCTGCAACAATAAATTACGAAAAGTTATCGAAAGATCCATCAATGGAGTGTAATATTTCAGTTTTGGATAAATGAAAAACCGTAAAAGCATTAAACCCATCTTACCCAAATAAAGAGCAAAAACAGAAGTTGCTGGAAAAGCTCAGCAGGTCTGGCAGCATCTATGAAGAAAAAAATCAGAGTTGATGTTTCAGGTCCGGTGACCCTTCCTCGGAACTTAGCCAAATAAAACCTTTTAAAACTGAGTTCACAATCTTGACCTGCAACTCTTTTTTTTTGCTGAGCTCACTGTAAGGTTGTGGTATAAGGAGCACTCTAGAGAGCAGCTAAAAACCAAGAAACCACAATATAATGCATTCCAACAAGTAAACACAGGAAAAATTGCTGGCACCAATTACACAACATACATCACACCAACAGGGAATCTAGCTTCAGAGTATAAGTTGCACAAATAAAATTAAAAATTGCTGGTAAACCTCAGCAGATCTGGCAGCATCTGTTGAGTGAAATTAGAGTTAACGTTTCGGGTTGAGTGACCCGTCCTCAGAACGGAATATACGTAGCACCCCTCAGTGTAGAAGATATTGTGAACATTTAACTGATATTGTGGTAGTAGCTAGACAGGATTTAGTAATGCCATACTATTTCCAACCTATAGTCATAAATGTATAGTTAGGATGGTTTTACATCAGGCTTATCATATGGGTTCCGGTTCTTGCCACAAACACCATGATGGCATTGTAACATAACCTTGCCGAGGCCATTGGGTTAAAAATAGCATGCACAGGTCTAATTCGCAAATGGATTTTAGCACAATGATTTCTTTTAAAGAATATCAGGGTAAGCAATGGGCTATAAGGTACTACATTGCAAGGATCTATGAGGTTATGTTAAAAAAAACCCTTTTTTTCTGCAAAATATTAAGACTGCATCCTTTCTTAACCAGAGTGATTGGTATTGAAAACAGAATTTATTAAAGAAATGAAATCAGGTTCTGTATAGTCCAGACATTTTTAAAGACTTCTGTTAGGTTTTTGGTGGTTAGTGCAAGTTAGTGCACTTAAGAAGATGGTGCAGGTTCAGTTAAGGAGCAGCAAAGAACTCATGAGACAGAAAAACAAATCTTTTTTCATTTGTTCATGGGCTAGGCCAGCATTTATGGCTCTTCTCTAACTGCCCACAGGGTGGTTAAGAATCAAAGCCACATTGCTGTGGATCTGAGATCACACGTATGCCAGACCAGATAAGGACAGCAGATTTCCTTCAGTACATTTGTGAACCAGATAGGTTTTCTGAACAATCAACAATGGTTACATGGTCACCATTAGACCAGGCGTTAATTCAAATTTCACTATCTGTCATGGTGGGATTCGATCCTTTGTCCTCAGCACGTCAGCCTGGGGTTCTGGATTACTAGCCTAGTGACATTACCAGTATGCCTCCATCGCCCCACACTCAGTGAGAAATGCCACAAGTGTGCAGGTCTTGATTAGACAGAACACCAGGAGCAGAAGGTGGAAAGTAATGCTTTAGCATCCACACTGGATGTAAAGTCTGGTGAAGGACCCTTTCAAAGCAGAATGCAATATTCAGTTTAGGTCTTAGAAAGAGACATATGCTTGAGGTAAGCCCTGCTGAATTTACAATACGTGCAAGGAAGTTGCCAGTGGCCCTCAACTGTGGAGGATAAAAGGAGCCAGTAAAGAGAGAGACTAAAGCAGAAGTCAAAACTTTCAACATTGGCAGTCAGGCGGATGCAATTGGACCAAATGTGTCAGACAATTACATAAATGGGGCAACATACCCAAATATCCACATATACTAGTATTTACGTTCGAGAAATAATGCTGCATTAAAGTAGTCATTACCCATGAATCCAATTTCAGGTGGAGCAGACGGTGGGTATTTGGAAGCTGCACTGAGCAGGGGATCGAGGTGCTCCGTGCCAGCTGCAACTTTGCTTGGATCCCAGTTTCCACTGCAGAATCTCTGAACCTTTTTCCCTAGGATCCCATTCACTTCTAACAGGGCTGGAATAGAAACAAAGACATAAACCAATCAGGTGTAGCTTGAGGCACCGACAGTGCTTCTACCCTGCTACAGTAATGGTGGGCTTACTGCATTCATACTTCAAAACTAACACTGGGACATTCTGTGACCAGCCAAATCTGAGGTTTTCAAAAAAGTGAAATGCAGATGCAGCCAGAAAGAGTGTCAACTTAGGAGAAGCCTCATAAATCAAGATTAAGCTTCACGGACATGGGCGAGGATTTAACAAAGCAGAGGAGGCCATTTGGCCCATTCTACATGTGCAGGTTCTTGGTAAAAACGATCCCATTTTCCTTTTGGCATGAGACTTTTGAACCCCTTTCACCAACCTTGCAGCAATTGGAAAGCTGTGGGCTGAAATAACAACCCCAAGCAGACATTTCACTCAGCATTGTCAGAGATTTTATTTCTAATAAAACATGACGTTGGAAACGTCTGCCCATGTTGTCTATAAGGCTTTCACTTCCCACAAAGCTCTTGTATTTGACAGAGTGACACAAACACACAAATAGGCCGTGTAGCCTATTGTGCCTACACAATGAACCCCACACCTCCTGCTCTTCCCCACCAGCCCTAATTGTTTTCTTTTGAAGTATTTCTTCAATTCCTTTTGAAAGATATCCATTTTGCTTCCACCACTCTTACAGGCAATTCATTAAGTAAACACGTGCCTTACAACAGCACACACAGCTAAGAGATTGGATGATAAAGTCTTGGTTATTTTCCAAGGTAGAGCTGGAAGCTCGGAGCAGGACTTTCACTGATCACTTTTATCCATGATCCATATTTTGGATCAAGGGTTGATAGGTATGGATGGCAGGCCCTCGATTCAGATCTCTGGCAGGGAGATAGAAATAGTTACCACTCCAGGGAAACAGAGGTGCAGCATCTAGGCCATCACTCCAGCTGAGAGGGTGCTGCACTGACAGCAAAGCTATATTTATGGTGAGAGACTCAACGTTTTGCTCTTTCCAGCCTGCTGTGCACACGTTGGCTGCATAACATCTTGTTAAAAGGAGTGCTGTGGATCGACTGAATGCACAGATCAAAAATAGGAGTGTTTGAGAAAATGTAGGTTCTGGTCTTTTTAGCTGCATACCGCTGACTCACCATCACTCATCTCTGCACCAAAGATAATGGCTTTGGCCCCCGACACAGACAGGCAGTGAGTGAGTGCATCGAGGCGGAGATTGAAGTTAAGCAGTGCACCCTCCACTCCGACTTTAGCCATGCCGAGCCACAGACCGACAAACTCCGGCCTACTCTCCATGAACAACGCAATGACATCACCTGGACCATAGCCCTGCTCCTGCAGAAAGTTGCCCACGGCATTGGAATACTCATCAAGATCCCTGAAAGTCCACTTTTTGTCAACCCCTTCATAAATGAGGGCCACCTTATCTGGGTGTCTCTGCACTGTATCTTGAAAGATCTTCGGGATGGTGCTGTCTTCTCGTTGGTGTTTCCACACAGCTAACTTAACCCTCAGCAGCAACATCAGACCACTGTCATAGAGGGGAAAAAAAAAATGAAAGGCCATTACTTCAGATTTCATTCTCCACTGAACTTATGAAATCACAGATAATCAACAGGTGCTCCAGTCAGAAATATGATCTGCAGTTTTTAACCAAATGCCTGACTGGTGGCCAAGAAACTAACATCAATTGTCAGTAAATACCTGGGTCACTAATGTCCTTTAGGGAACAAAATATGTTGTCCTTACCCAGTCTGGCCTACATGTGACTCCAGACCCACAACAATGCGATTGACTCTAAAATGCCCTCTGAAGTGGTCAAACCAAAAAGTTAGTTCAAGGACAATTAGGGATTAGCAATAAATGTTAACTTGAACATCCCTGAACAATTATCCTGATTCCAATCTTTCGTGGTCACCTTATAAAGGAGAGCTGTACATGTATTATTGATACTCTGTTCCTTTTCCCCTGTGTCCTGGCTCTGCTGATCTCTTCTTGGACATAGAGATCAGGCTCAAGTTCTGGTCTTAAAGATCATTACTTAAAACACAGCTGAAGGAGGCCTTTCCATCTCCAGCCTATAGTACCTTTCAATTATATCAATGCTGACTGGGGTCTCAAATTTGTCTGCCTTAACTTTATCTTCCTCAACTAACAATGATCAACGATTGCTTGATCTACATATCAAAAATGCCTATTTTGTTGCAGGTGGAGGGACAGACAAAAGGGAGGCGGGGGAGGGTAACAGATATATAGAGCACGAGATAGACAGGCATACAGACGCAGAGAGAGGGACAGACAGAGAGTGAGATAGACAGACAGAGAGGGAGCAGAAGGGAAAGACACACAGATAGGCATAGGCACATAGACACACAAAGAGGCAGAGAGACAGAGCGGGCACAGACAGTTGGAGAGAGTGAGACAGAAGTTTTGATTGTGTTGTGGAATAAATGTTTCCTGATTTCCCTCCTCAATGCCTTGGCTCTAATTTTAAAATGATACTCCCTTTTGCTTGATACCCTCACTAGAGATTTTAATTAGTCTGTGCAGCCTGTTCAAATTCATTTAACAATCCAAGAGATCATCCCTCAACCTTCTCCAAACATAACCCAAAATCTTCCTCAGATAACCAAACCCAGTGCGGCACCGAAGTTTTCGCCCTTTACAAAAGGGCTCTGAATTTTTAAAATTGGTCTTGTCCAGGCGTGGTCTATAGATAAGGAAGCAACTTCTTACAAGCCACTTCAATCTGAAACAATGTTATCCACAACACTGGTTTCAGCACAACTGGCACAGCTTGCTGGTGAGAGACCAGGAATGTTTGAGCAGCGCTTGCACTTAAATGCATCACTCACCTCCCAACAACGATGACTCTCATTTCACCAGCATTTGGGAGAGGACGTGTGACTGAGTGAACTTCAAGTCACATGAACCTGTATACCCTTTAGTCAGAATGCGTACCCATGTTAGAAAAGGTCAATAAAGTTTAGTCACTTTAAGAAGCTGCTGTCTGTTAATGTCGAATCAGAGATAGTAGGAACTGCAGATGCTGGAGAATCCGAGACAACAAGGTGCAGGGCTGGATGAACACAGCAGGCCAAGCAGCATCATAGGAGCAGAGAGGCTGACGTTTCGACCACCTAGAAACCGATATTCATTTCAAGCCCACCGACTCCCACAGCTACCTAGAATACTCCTCCTCCCACCCACCTTCCTGCAAAAATGCTATCCCCTATTCCCAATTCCTTCGCCTCCGCCGCATCTGCTCCCAGGATGAGGCATTCCACTCCCGTACATCTCAGTTGTCCTCGTTTTTCAAGGACCGTAACTTCCCCTCCTCGGTGGTCGAGAACGCCCTCAACCGTGTCTCCCACATCTCCCGCACCTCATCCCTCACACCCCGTCCACGCAATAAAAACCAAAAAAAGAATCCCCCTCGTCCTCACGTACCACCCCACCAACCTCTGGATCCAACGCATCATCCTCCGACACTTCCGCCATCTGCAATCCGACCCCACCACCAAAGACATCTTTCCCTCCCCACCTTTATCTGCTTTCCGGAGGGACAACTCTCTCCGTGACTCCCTTGTCCGCTCCACACTCCCCTCCAGCTCCACCACACCCGGCACTTTTCCCTGCAACCGCAGGAAGTGCTACACCTGCCCCCATACCTCCTCCCTCACCCCCATCCCAGGCCCCAAGAAGACTTTCCACATCAAGCAGATGTTCATCTGCACATCTGCCAATGTGGTATACTGCATCCGCTGTACCCGGTGTGGCTTCCTCTACATCGGGGAAACCAAGCGGAGACTCGGGGACCGCTTTGCAGAACACCTACGCTCGGTTCGCAACAAACAACTGCACCTCCCAGTCGTGAACCATTTCAACTCCCCCTCCCATTCCTCAGACGACATGTCCATCCTGGGCCTCCTGCAGTGCCACAACGATGCCACCCGAAGGTTGCAGGAACAGCAACTCATATTCCGCTTGGGAACCCTGCAGCCCAATGGTATCAATGTGGATTTCACAAGTTTCAAAATCTCCCCTCCCCCCACCGCATCCCAAAACCAGTCCAGCTCGTCCCTGCCTCCCTAACCTGTTCTTCCTCCCACCTATCCCCTCCTCCCACCTCAAGCCGCACTTCCATCTCCTACCGACCAACCTCATCCCGCCCCCTTGACCTGTCCGTCCTCCCTGGACTGACCTATCCCCTTCCTAACTCCCTACCTACACTCACCTTTCCTGGCCCCATCCCCGCCTCTTCGACCTGTTTGTTTCCTCTCCACCTATCCTCTCCTCTATCCCTCTTCTATCCGCCTCCCACTCTCTCCCTATTTATTTCAAAACCCCCTTCCCCTCCCCCTTTTCTGATGAAGGGTCTAGGCCCGAAACGTCAGCCTCTCTGCTCCTATGATGCTGCTTGGCCTGCTGTGTTCATCCAGCCCTGCACCTTGTTGTCTAAAATAACAACGCTGGCTTCAGGCTGCAATGGTGGAGGTTTAACTCAGAAGGTGTAAAAAGCCTAAGTAATCACACAAAAATGTGTCCAGTAGTATGGTACAACTGAAATAGGAGATGGTGGGGGTAAGTAGGAGAGACTGACACTTGATTGGAAACATTTCAAAGCCAGATTGGAATTTGAATGCTTAGTTTTTGTTGCTTTAATGGTTAGTCAATGTGCCACGATTTAATAAAGCATCAAAAAGGAGGCGAGAGGGGGCATGTGGGGGTGGCTGGTTAGGGAATATATGAAGGTTCAGCTGCCATTGGTGGAGCATAGGAAAGTGAGAGATATGCAAGAGACCAGGAGGAGGAGGACTTGGAAAGGTTTTATAATTTGAGCACTGTGAAACATCATAGAAATAATGTTTTCATTTTAATATATCACCATTTTGTCAGTCTTTTTAATCCTACAATAAATGTAATTTAATCAATGTGAATTTCAACAAAATACTGGACAACATCTACCACTGATGAGAATAACATGATTTTCTTTAGGTTGTTAACTTTGTGGTTTGAGACCCTGCACCAAATAATATTGCTTGGTGCATAATTAGCAGCAGTGAACAAACTGTTCCCTTCAAAAAAGTGTGGTTGCTTCAACAGAGAGAGGCCAACCCCACTGTCAGGGTGTAACCAGAGTGACAGCTTTACACATTGTCTGTCTACACCTTAGAATGACTTGCAGGACAGATAGCCAGAAGCTGAGGCAGATGTTCAAGACTAACTAGTTGACATGCCAAGTTAGGTGCATGCACACCCAATAATCCTTTTGTCAAAAGAATGAATAAAGCGAGATATTAATTCTTATCCATTCTGAACTGGTTAGAAAATATCAAATTAAGATAACTTCCCAGTGGAATTAAGGAGAGGAAATTGCAGCTCTACTTTATACACCAGGAGTACTATGCCATATGGGTCTTTTCACTGGGTCTAAATCTAGGAAAAGGTTTATAATGAAAGGATCTTTCCTTCAATTGCTAACTTTGAGGGGGAGGCATTTGCCTAACGGTATTATCACTGGACTGTTAATCCAGAGACCCGGGTTTGAATCCTGCCACAGTCGATGGTGGAATCTGAATTCAATACATATCTTAAATTAAGTGACCATCTCAATTGTTGAACCATCTGGTTCACTAATGTTCTTTAGGAGAGGAAACAGCCATCCTTACCTGGTCTGGCCTACATGTGACTCCAGACCCACAGTCTTAGTGATGGACAATAAATGTTGACCTAGTCAGTGTCACCTTCATCCCGTGCGTGAAATTAAAAAAACTTAATTTAACACCCTTATTTTGGCCGATCTGAAATGTTATTTTAGAAGTTACAAGTGCAAGGTGCATGTGTCAGTATGAATCATGATCAGATAGACTCTCACAATCAGATGGACTAGCTGATAAAGGATCATTTCAAAACATGTTGCAACAAGAATAGACAAAGGACAAGGACAGTTTTGTTAGGCTATGACGAAAGAGCAAGGGGATGGAACTAATTGGTTGAATTACCTTAGATAGCAGCATGGTCAGCAGACATGGGCCGAAGGGTCTGTTCCTGTGCTGCACTGTTCTACATTCTAAAGACACAATGGGCCAAACAGCCTCTTCTGGGGCTGTATAATTTTATGGTTACAGCGAAGGAGTTGGGAGATGTGAGAAATGCTATTTAGAGAACACTGTCAGCATTATAACAGAACAAATGAAACAACTCTGGGAAGAGATAACCAACCAAAGACTTTTGGCCACCAGACCTTAAAACACAAGGTGCACATATAAATTCTCACAGTGTAACTTACAAGAGATCTCTTGGTGCAGTTTTTAACAGTATCCGAATAAACCTCCATCCTCCACTTCCCAGATAAATGCCAAAGCTTGCAGCAATACTCCAGGTCCAGGAAACCCCAAAGAGTTGCATCAATCCCAGAGATCCCAGGGATGCACTGCAACTAGCCACACTGTGCATTCTTTCTAGAGATTACCTGTTAAATATAAGAAGAGCTTATTGTAATTAACAATTATCTTATTATATTTTGTCTCAGTGAAACAATAGGATTCTTAGGGGATCTGACAGGGTAAATGTAGAAAGGCTGCCTCCCCTGATGGGAGAGCCTGGAACCAGAAGCAACATTCTGACAATAAGTTAGGACTGAGATGAGGAGGAATTTCTTCTCTTAGTGGTGAATTTTTGAAATTCTTTAACTGCAGAGGGCCATCAAGGCTGTGTTGTAAGTATATTTAAAAATCTGTACACCTCAGCCTTAATCAGTAAGGAATTCAAGTGTTATAGGGAATTGGAGGAAAGTGGAGCTGAGGATTATCAAATCAGCCATGATCTCAGTGAATGACAGAGCACACTCGATGGGCTGAAAGGCCTATCTTTGCTCCTATGCCTTACGTCTAACAATGAAGCTCAGAGATATTTGCACAAAGGGTTACAATTTGGTTTTAATGCCAATGCTCACTACCAACTGGTCATCGGAGGAGGTTGGAGTTAATCAGGTTAATGTTAGGGTTATCGGTTCGAGCAACATTAGAGTTCTCCTTGGAACTAAGGGCAACTCAACTAATCTGTAAATGTCCCATCACATCAGGGATAGGCCATCCTGTGTAAACTACAGATAAAATATAGATCAGTAGTGTATTTAGCTGGGTGAAGATGCAACTAGCCCTTTGCGGAAAGTCAGTCCCAAATTTAAGTAGAAGACAAAATCTCCTTTTCAGTGCCAACACTGGCATTTGCTGGTTTGTAATGCCCATTTTCCAGCTCTGAACTCAAGCTTGCTGAATTCAGAGACTGTCCTATCTTACTGAAGTAGCGTCCAGGAGCTAAAACAACCTTTGAGCCTGTGTCCCCTAGTAACTAACCCCTCCACCCTGGGAAAAAGCCTCCTACTTTCCATTCTATCTTGCCATTCACAATCTTATAAACTTCTTTTAGGTCACCTTTCTTCATAGCTAAAATCCTCCATACCAGGCAACATCCTGGTAAACCTTTTCTGTAGCCTCTCCAAAGCATCCACATCCTTCTGGTAATGTGATGACCAGAACTGTACGCAATATTCCAGTGTGGCCAAACTAAAGTTCTATAAAGCTGCAGCATAACTTGTCTATACTTATACTCAGTGCCCCTTCCAATGAAGGTAAGCATGCCATAAGCCTTTTTTACTAACTTATTACTGCGCTGCCACCTTCAGTGATCTGTGAACCTGCACACCCAGATCCCTCTGCATATCAATACTCCTAAGGGTTCTGCCATTCACTGTATAATTTCCACCTGCATTTGGCCTTCCAAAATGCGTCACCTCACATTTGTCCGGATTAAACTCAATCTGCCATTTTTCTGCCCATGCCTCTAACTGATCTATATCCTGCTGTATCCTCTGACTATCTCTTCACTATCCACAACTCCACCAATCTTTGTATCATCAGCGAACTTACTAATTAGACCAGCTATGATTTCCTCCAAATCATTTATGTATATCATGAACACAGAGATCCCAGCACTGATCCCTGTGGAACACCACTATTCACAGTTCTCCATTCTGAAAAGCATCCTTCCATTGCTGCCCTCTATCTCCTATGACTGAGCCATTTCTGTATCCCTCTTCCCAACTCACCCCAATGCCATGTGACTTCACCTTTTGCACCAGTCTGCCATAAGGGACCTTGTCAAAAGCTTTACTGAAGTCCATGTAGGCAGCATCAACTGCTTTTCCCTCAAATTATCTTCATCACCTCCTCATAAAACTCAATCAAGTTAGTGAGGCACAACCTCCCCCGTTAATTAGTCCATTTGCTTCTGAATGCAAACAGATCTTGTCCCTGAGAATCTTTTCCAGTAATTTTCCAATCACCGATGTGACACTCACAGGCCTGCAATTTCCAGGATTATCCCTGATACCCTTCTTAAACAATAGGACAACATTGGCTATTCTCCAGTCCTCTGGGACCTCACCTGTGCCCAAAGAGAATACAAAGAAGTCTGTCTATGCTCTAGCAATTTGTTCTCTTGACTCCCTCAATATTCCCATCAGGACCCAGGCACTTATCTAACTTAATATTTTTTAAGATGCACAACACCTCTTCCTTTTTAATAGCAATTTGGCTTAGAAACTCGACACTCCCTTCCCTGAGATCATCCTCCACGAACTCCTTCTCTTTGGTGAATACCGACCCTAAGTATTTGTTTAGGACCTCACCTATCTCTTCTGGCTCCACACGTAGATTCCCTCCTTTGTCCTTGAGTGGGCCAACCCTTGCCCTGGCTACCCTCTTGGTTTTTATATATGTAAAAGAAAGCCTTGGGATTCTCCTTAATCCTGTTTGCTAACAACTTTTCATGATCCTTTTTAGCCCTTCTAAAAGTTCTTTCCTAATATACTTCAAGGGGTTCGTCAGTCCCCATCCTCCTAGATCTTATGAATGCTTCGTTTTTCTTTCTGACCAAGGTCATAACATCCCTAGTTATCTAAGGTTCACATAACTTGCCACACCTGTACTTCATTCTCACAGGAATGTGCCTCTCCTGAACTCTCATCACCTGCTGTTTGAAATACTCCCACAAACAGCCGACTCCAATCAGAATTCTCCAGTTCCTGTCTAATATTGTTGTAGTTTGCCTTCTCCCAATTTAACACCTTCACTTGAGCACTGCTGTCATCCCTTTCCATGAGTATATTAAAACTCATGATATTATGGCCACTACTCCCGAAATGCTCCCCCACCGAAACTTCACTCACCTGGCCAGGCTCATTTCACAAAACCAGGTCCAGTATAACCTCTTCCCTGGTTGGACTGCTTACAAATTGTATCAAGAATGGTCCTTACAAATTCTGCCCTATCCATGCCCCTAGCACGTAGTGAATAGGGGAAGTTAAAATCACCCATTGCAACAAGCACTGCTGTTTCTAACATCTTTCCAAAATCTGTCTACATATTCTCTCCTCTACCTCCCGCTGGCTATTGAGATGCCTATAGTATATCCCCCACATTGTGATTTCACCTTTCCCATTCCTGAGTCCTAACGATATTGCCTCGCTGCACGAGTCCTCTGATGTATCCTCCCTCAGTACAGCTGTGAGATATTCCTTTACCAATAATGCAACTCCCTGACCCCTTTTACCTCCCTTTCAATCAAACCTGAAAGAGCTAAATCCTGGAACATTCAGCTGTCAGTCCTGTCCCTCTTTTAGCCAAGTCTCCGTAATCACAATAATGTTATAGTTCCAAGTACGAACCAAAGTTCTAAGTTCATCTACCTTGCCTATTATATTTCTCACATTGAAGCACTTGCATTTCAGACCATCTCCCTTGTTCTTGTTCTTAGTAATGTTTGCCCTGGTTTCTACCTCTCCTTCAATTTCTGCATTTACTACCCTACTCCTCTGGTTCCCATGCCCCTGCCACAATCATTTAAACCCTCCCCAATCACCCTACCAAATATCCCCCCCAAGGACATCAGTCCCAGTCCTGCCCAGATGTAACATGTCCAGTTTGTACAGGTCCCATCTCCCCCAGAACCAGTCCCAATGCCCCACAAATCTGAAACCCTCCCCCTCACACCACCTTTTCAGCCACCATATATATATCCTATATATCCTGCTGTTTCTACTCTGACTAGCTCGTGGTATTGGTAATAATCCTGAGATAACTACCTTTCAGGTCCTAAATTTCAGCTTTCTTCCTAGTTCTCTATATTCTGCTTTAGTACTTCATCCTTTTTTTTTACCTGTGTCATTAGTACCAACCTTTACCACGATCACTGGCTGTTCGTCCTCCCCCTCCAGAATGTCCTGCAACCGCTCTGAGACATCCTGGACCCTAGCACCAGGGAGGCAACACACCATCCTGGACTCTTGTTTGCGGTCACAGAAACGCCCATCTATTCCCCTTACAATGGAATCCCCTGTAACTGTAGCATTTCTATGCCTATATCTCTCTCTCCCTCTGCAGCAGAGCCAATCCATGGTGCCATGAATTTGGCTGCTGTTGTTACACCCTGAGAGGCCATTCCCCTCAACAGTATCCAAAACGGTATATCTGTTTTGCAGGGAATAGCCACAGAAGATTCCTGCACTGCCTACTTAGCCTTCTTGCTCTGCCTGATGGTCATCTGTTCCCTTCCTGCCTGTGGAGTTTGAGTCTGCAGTGTGACTACATCTGTATACGTGCTATCCACGATACACTCTGCCTCGCGAATGCTCCAGTATCCCCAGATGCCGATCCAACTTCGAAACTTGGGCTTCCAGGACCTGTAGCTGGAGACACTACTTGTACATATGCAGGTCCTAGTTACTGGAAATTTGCCCGACTTCCCACATCGAGCAAAGGGAGCAGACTACGATTTGGTGCTCTCCTATCATGTCTTACCCCTTTACGTTAATTATTCCTTATAATGTTAAATACCTTTAATACTAAGTTGAAGCTTCTGATGCTCCCTGCTCCGATAATAATTTCTCAAAACTTACCTATAACTCACCGACAACAGTTTCCAGTAACAGTTTCGGCTCAAGCTCCTTTATCACCTGGAACTCTTGCTGCCGACCTTTCTCTCACAATGTTCTCTCCTCTGAACTTTGCCTCTGCCTTTTTTTTTTAAGAGGAGGAAGGAGGAATGGAAACACTGCAGTAATGTAATGGTTGGGGTTAAGCGTTTCTTAACAGCAGGTTCTTCCACCATACCCTTCACACCCACGCAACTGCGAAGTCCACTGCCAGAATTGCAAATGAGTGACAACTCAGGACCCTTCGTATTTCCACAGTATCCAAAAAAATCTAATTGATCCCTTGTACTGAACATGTACCGCTGCAGAATACTATACTGGAGTGCGCCAACCTGACTATGTTGTGCAATCCTTTTCCTTATCATAACATAGATAAACATAATAATTCTGCCAGAGGGAAGACACTGACAATAAAATATTAACTAGTTTATTTAACTGATAGGCAATTAAATATTTAGCTGCAGAATTATGCCGTG